TCTCTGTCTCACCACCTTCTCAGGCTAGTTTGGTGGGAGTAAGGGAAAAGGTACTTTAGGAGGCTGGTCTTAGGATGCCCTCTTTAAAGAGGCCAGCAAGTCAAAACATTTTATGGTGTCCGGTTGTAAAAACTTGGATAGGGTTTTAACATTGTCCAGTGCTGTGGCCTTTCAAGGAATTATATTTTAAATATTAAGCATTTTAACTTTACATGTTATTTATTTGCTTTTAAAATAATTTTTATATTGGTACTTTTATTTCTATAGTTTTAATGTTTATTGTTTTAAAACATGTTGCCCTGAGTTATTGGGAGAAAGGTGGGATATAGATTAAATAAACAAGTATTTGCTTCACTCCATTTATAAGCATTCCTAAGCTGGAGAAGCAGAGGACTGTTTCCTCCCCATATCTGCCCTTTGTAGCAAACATTAATACTGTGCCAAAGCAAGTAGGCAGGAATTTGGACTATAGAAATAGCAAACTAAAGGGTATAGTCCAGTAGTCAGTGTTGCAAAACCTTACCTTTCAAGGCACCAGAATCTGATTTAGGACAACTTGTGGTATGTTTCTATCAATCTCATAGCCCTCATTTGCAGAATGCAAGTGATAACTGTTCAACACATGCAAAGCCATGGCGCCTAACACAATGGTACAACTCTTCCTCTTCCTCCATCATAAGAGAACATATTACAATGGTTCAGCGGCAATGCTTTAATGTTCCCAGACAAGGCTGTTAACATTAAAAATGTGGGAATTGCACACAGTAGTTATTCTTGACTTTAATTACTGTGCTAACACGAGTCTTTTAAATTTGCCACTGCTTTTCAATCTAGAGATGCAATCTGTTTTTCAGGCACAACTGCCAATGTCAAGCATCTTGCAAAAACAAGAGAATATTTTGCCAACAAACTCTAAAAGCCTTTTAGGTTTTATACCCAAAACCTAACCGCCAGACAAACTAAAAAGCAGAATGTGCATAAACAGTCTTTTGTGGAAGAATTACTTCATTAAATGGATCCTATTGATAATATTAAAATTGATATTCTAGCATACCCTCACCTAGGAACCTGTATTGGTTTAAGATATAGTTTTGATGTTCTTCAATTACATGCATAATCACGAGGCTAAAGAAGCATAACAACTTTGATTCTTGCAAAACACCTTTTTCAATTTTTTTTTTTTAGTTCTTCAGAATTTAGGAATTACAGTGTCACAAACTGAGAAAAGTCACCATAGCCTTTTTGGCATCCAAATGGCCTTTCTCAGTTCTGCAATGAACATAGAGGCTCCTCATTGCCCTAATACAATTAATTTCTAAAATCCTAACTGCTGGAGTAGTGCTGGGGCCAACATTGCAATCTTTAGTGTAAATAAAATGAGAGGAAAGGACATGTAATTTTAAAATAGTGACAAAGGAAATGGAAGAGAGGGTGGAAAGAGAGATGGGACAGATGAAAAATGGGGGTTTCAAACATTTGTCACCTGTTTTCTTCTCTCCGCATCTCAAAACAGAAACTAGAAGAAGCCGAAACTTGATATTGTTAAAACATCCCCATTTCCATATAAATGCAATTGAATTCGATTTGTTTTGTTAGTTTATCAACATAATGTGTGAAGCCATTCCCACTTACTTCCCCATCTCTGAGCAGGAGAAATTGAAAGATTTGTGAGACAGAGTTGATAATCTGTCAGCGTTAGCTGAAAAGCTGCTTCCTGAGTTTAGTGACAAGCAAAATTTGTCTATTTATTGTGCAATACATGCTAGGCAGTTAAGAACAAATTGTCAAACAAAACTGCTTAGCTCTTTACTTTCATGGGAAAGCTATGCTTTCTTCTATTTACTTGCAAGAACTATGCTTGCATTTGTAATATACAACATCTGAGCTATTAAACCAGTTGTGCCTAAGGCATCAGTCCATATTGCACTATTATACTGCTTTCTCTCAATAGGTTGATCCTGAGGAACACAACAAAAATTTCTAAGGAGACCTGTTCAAGATAGGTTTCAATTATAAAATATATATATAATGCCTACTCAGTCCCCCCTTTGAGGAGATAAAGTGAGGTATAAACAAATGCGATGATGATGATGATGATGATGATGATGATGATAGAAGAACGGAGCTTGCTTCCAGATGAGTTTGTATAATATGGCAGTCAATTTAAAAAGGATGATGTGTTATAGGCATAGTTAACAAAAGTATCATTAGACTATTGAGCAAACTAATCAATAGAATCACCATAGTATAGTACAACAAGTAAAAGCATAATTAAGAACTGGTGAAGAAGAGGGATGAAATAAGGTAAATTAACTGAAAACATAAAGGATTTGTACACTGAACTCCATAACGGTTACATTCTTCAGCATGGGGAGGCACATGTAAGGCTAGCAAGAGAGCATTCAGACTCCTAGATTTGGCAGATTTTTTTTAAACTGTAATTTTCTCAAGACAGCAGAACATTGACCATTTCATATAAGGCAGGCCTCTCATGAGAGCCCCAGGTTTCTGTGAGACCTCTAACTTCATCTTGTGAGATTTGAGAGAGGATTTTAAAGGGTTGTTTCACATCCTACTCTCCCCAGATCACTGTTTCTTAGGTCAATGTTGGGGTTCCGAATTTTTTTTCTGAACATCACAAATGTGTTCTGCAGTGCCTACAGTGGACTCTGCAGTAGATGCTTAAACTATACTTCATTAAAAGGAAAGTCAGCCTGTTTTGTAAGCCTTGCAAATGCTGATTTATTATCAGTAAATATTTGTAGTCTATACTTATTTTATATACCCATATACTAAGAGTCACATACTGTAAACATTTATTGAGCCAAAAAGGAGTCCTGAGATGAAACGTTTAAGAAGCCTTGGCCTGGACCTACAGAGCTGAGAGAGGAGACAGAACTGGTGACAGCCAGGCTTGCACCATTTGATGTGTCTTTTGTGGCCATTTTTCTACACTCCAAATGCTTGGGGTCACCCTATTATGAATGTGACTGGCATCCAGCTTTCCTGCTGGATCAAAATACGATATTTGAGGCTATTATGTCCTAAGAACAAAAACGTATGCACATTCAAACCTTAGGTCTCAGTAATTTTACTGGCTTCTTCGCACCCATTGCCCCAGGCCATAACTATTAATCACTACTTGCTAATTAACATTCTTATATTACAGGCCAAACATCTAAATAAGATTACTATGGGGAGGGTCCGATAAGATAGTCCTAGTGCAATGGGTCTCAACCTGTGGGTCCCCAGGTATTTTGGCCCAGAAATCTCAGTCAGTTTGCCAGCTGTTAGGATTTCTGGGAATTGAAGGCCAAAACATCTGGGAACTCACGGGTTGAGAACCACAGCCTTAGTGCAATGGCCGTGGGCATATATAGTATGTGACAACAGCTGATTGCATTAAAAGAATTAGCGATACAAGGAAGCAGATCAAATGAATTGAGTGTGATCCTGCCTGAAGATGCTGTTCAAAAAAGTTGAGATGAAACATAACTCTGCTAAACAGTGTATACATACAGACTAACATTGGCAGCTCCACAGGTAAAAAGATCAACCAATTTCCAAGACCAAGTTTCTACTTAGCTGGATCTGTTATGTGACTAATAGGAACCTTTTATGATTTAATGCACAACCGACATAGGTAGTTTTGGGAATATATGAGACAAAGGGGAGATCAATCTGCAAGTAAGGCTAAAAATGTCTAAATCCTTTATTCTCAAGTGTTCCACTGTCAATCTCATGTTTTAAAAATGGTATTTAGAAGTCAAGAAGATCAAAGCATGCAACTGCAAATGGAACTGAGAGCTTGACACTAATGGTGGGTAAGCATAAAACTACAACAAAATCAATTTACCACAATAATTTGAGGACAAAATAACAAAGGAACAAAAATGTCCTATGGCAGATGATACGGCATCTCAAAAATCAATGCCTGGCTTCTATTTAAATCTTCTGAGAAAAAGCCAAATCTATACTGACATTGAGAAAGTAAACAACAACAAAACAGTCAAAATGATGCCATCATCTTTGTTTTCTGCTGTTCTATAGACCATGGAGCAATGGAGTCGAATTGGCGGGGGGGGGGGGGGGGGGGGGGGGGGGGAGAGATCCACCTGAATATTAGGAAGAACCTCCTGATGGCAAGAGCCATCCTGGTAGTGTGGTGGAGTAATCTATTTTGAAAGTTTTTAAACAGAATCTGGATAGCCATGTGTTTGGAGTTATTTGTGCATTTCTCCATGGCAGGAGTTGGACTGGATGGCCCTTGTGCTCTCTTCCAACTTGATTCTATGCCACCTGCATGACTTGTACATTCTTCTCCAAAGCTAGGGAGCACCTGAATATCTAGTAGAGATGTTTGTTTGCTTCAAGTGGCTTCTGGTACTCAGCTGTCTATGAAGATGTTGCCCAAGGGACGCCTGGAAGTGTTACTATCCTGTGAGAAAGCTTCTCTCATGTCATTAGAGAAGAGCAAACTACAGACAACCTACTACAATGCAGTCTGAACCCCGTCACATGCATGATGGAGGACCTTCTCACAGTGACACCAGAGGCACTCCAAATGGACACCTCCTGGTTAAAGGAAATTTAGTATAATGCCAAGTTTTTAACTGTGTTTTTTATACATTATAACTGTATTCCCAATTTGCTTCTGACATGATTAAAAAAATCTAGCAGAGATGAATTTGAAGATTTCTGTATTCTAAGTACATCTGGTCCAACATAGCTATTTCCACTTTTGAATAATACCTAACAGTATTGCAATTTGCAATTCAAGATTTGCTGATGTGGAGTAACCCAGATGTACAAGATCTCCTCAGGAAGTCAGATGTCTTATGGACACGTGAAAAACACTTATCTGGCCGAAGCATGCGTAATAGAATATGATATACTAATCAACAGAGACTGATCAAGGAGATATAAAGACCACTTTGGATTTAATTAATTTGCTCATATTCCATTTTTGGATTTGCTATGCCAGAAATCATTCACCAAAATTGGAGTGCAAATATTCTGTTTACTTATAAAAGCACAAAAACTGCCAAATTAAATAAACACCAAATATATTGATCAGTATGCAATTATTCTAATTTGTTTGGCAAGGAAAAACATTACATTTTCATCATAACATACTTGTTTGGGTAGCCTTAATTTCACGCAAATACTGTTACAAATCGAATTGAAGCTGCTGTAGTTATACATTGTTTTTCATATTTGTTATAAATTTCCCATAGGTTATATACACATACGACTTTGGTAATAGGGACCATGAGCACAACATCAATAATGTGTTTTGTTCAACATGTGGTCTTCTATGTCTTCACTTGTCTCAGGTCTAAAAATGGGTTGTTGTAAGTTTTTTGGGCTGTATGGCCATGTTATAGAAGCATTCCCTCCTGACATTTTGCCTGCATCTGAGGATGCCTGCCATAGATGCAGGCGAAATGTCAGGAGAGAATGCCTCTTGAACATGGCTATACAGCCCGAAAAACCTACAACAACCTAGTGATTCCGGCCATGAAAGCCTTCGAAAATGCATAGGTCTAAAATGTTCACAAAGATACAAAGATATTCATGTGCACAATTTGTGTAATTATGGGAGCAACAAGTGGACTACACATCCTCTTGTTGCATTGCTCTCTCAGTAGTCCCAGCCTGAAAGTACATTCTTCTGCAGAAGAAAGTAGAATTGACACCACACACACACAAACAGTGGAGGATTGGGGTATGTAAGATGGGGACCACAGCTTAGAAGACGTATCACATTACTTTCGAAACTAGTTACTTTGGAAACACAATACTTTTTACAATAATGTCCTGGAATGGTGTTACCTTTACAGCCAGGGCTTTTCAGTGTTACTGTAATGTCTTACTGTGTTCTGACTCAATGTGAGCAATAGTTGGTGGAAGAGGGAGACTCACATGGATGGCTACCCTGTGTTGTCCTTTTTGTGGCATGATGCAAGAAGTGATGTTCAGATGATCCAAGGAGAAGGGAGTGAAGGATGGGAGGAGAGAAAGGAGGAAACATATTGAAAACATTTTTAAAATGGTTCTGTGTTCCTCAATTCTGCCCAAAAAACTGAGGAGAGAGAGGAGAAAGTAAGTAATAAAGAGAGATTGAGAGATTCAAACTATTAAGATGAGTGCAAGAGGCACTACTTCGCCAGTCTGGCTGCACTAAACGATGGCACACAGCCAACACTTGAACTAGCAATGTTGGTGGGAGCTATGAGAGAGTTTAGAGGAGGCATCATTTCTTTACACACTTGAAGTGGGCTCAAGCCAGAGATTTAAAAAATGTTTGAAAGAGATGGAGAAGTAAGAGGGATTGGATGACTTACTGTATCTACCTAAATCATATAGGTGGTCAGCTATGCTGTGCTGGTGGGCCACGTTTGGATGGGAAGGAGGTCCAAGCAGTGTAGATTATTCTGAATTATGACAATCAGAAATTAGAGGAACTAGAAGGCAGTTCCTTATATTTTTCAATGGCACAATGGTGACATGTTAGTGATAAGTTACCCTGCATGTTACTTTTTTGAACTGCTGTAAGAAATAATGGTCTACTGAGTGATCAGGATAATGTAACTAGCTCCTCTTATACAGTAAGATACCAAGTTCTGATGGGGGGGAAAAACTTCCTAATGTATTCCTATCAGGAGAAGATAAGGATGGAGGGAATTCATGTATAAAGCTGCTTCCTTTGAGCAAGCAACACAAATGTAGCTTTTATGAATACAGTTATTGAAAAGTGGCAATCATACAGACTCAAATCCATACTAGTCACCAATAAATCATGCAGATTTACTGTACTACAGATTAACAACAACAAACCTGGACATCCAGATGAGAAGAGTAACAGCGAGTGCATACAAAACAGCTCTAGAGTAATTGCTTTGGAAGTAAATGCTATGAGATTTAAGAGATCTAGGCTAAACCTTTATGGAAGGATTTTCTATAAAGAAATCTGCCCAGTACATGAGAAATATATCCTGATAATAAACACAGGATAAAAGCTTGAAGAACTACTATTGTTGTATAGCCATGGAGATGTCAGTTCACACAAATGGAGAATTTTCAGATGAATTTGTTAGTAGCCCTTAGTATAGTAGCCCTTTGCATTCTCAAATGAGAACCAAGCCAAATGCAAAAAAACCCCACACATTTTACAGTATAATAATGAACATGTGACCTAGGCAATTTTGTATAGCATATATGATGTTAAATGAATGAAAACAGGTTCTGTTTAATCTTAACTCTTGTTAAATCTTACATCCAGTTATCATGTATGTGCCATAGTCATATTTCTTGTGTATAAAAATACAGAATTTTGGTTGATTATAAATATTTGCCTACAGGTAGAAATATGCTTCTGATTACACAATTTCTCTGCTTATTTTACAAAGCCCTATTTCACCTTAACAGTCCAGTTTCATGGCTTTATTATTCCATTTGTAAAAAAAAAATACTGAATAAGTGGGAAAAAATAGGCAACTCCAAATAATAAATGACTCTGCTAAAGGATGATTTTAGCATTTGGTTTGCTTTAAACATCTCCCTTACTAACCACACATTTTTCCAGCCTTTCTTCATTCCTTCAACCAACCAACCAACCAACCAATCAATCAATCAATCAATCAATCAACCAATCAGAACATTTGTAGTCCTCAGCCCAATATTCAATCAGTCACCACCAATGCAATCACTTATATATTGCCGTCATCTAACATTTTGTTGACACCATCACAAAGTCTCTGCAGGTGAGTCTTGTAAGATCCAAATGGATTGTACAAAGCAGCCAAGAATTCACAATCTGAGAAGTGATCAAATACGTTGTTCACACGTCCATGAGATTTTGCTGTTAGGTGACGCTGAATGATTTGATGTAGTAGGTCTCTGCATTCATTCAACAATTTTGACAAAAAATTTCTGTCAAATGTAAAATCCACTTGATGGAAGCTCACCACAGTTTTAGCCAACTGGTGCACCTTCTTCTTGAACTTTTCCATAAGGATGATCTCTTCTTGATTAAACTGATTATTCCTGTAGAGGATTGCTAACTTGATAACAGTCTTAATGAGATTTTTAATTATCTTCTCTGCCTCCTTCTTATTTTGTGTGTACTCCTTTGTCACTCTGTAGAGTTCGTCCAACACATCACTGCTGGTGTCATCTATCAATGCAGTTGCTATTGATTTGGATGCCATTTTGCCAAGAATTTTCTTCTGGGCCTGAACGGCCAAACCTTTGGAATTGAAGACATCTGTAGCCACTAGAAGGGAAAAAAGAAAATGAATATACATTAACTTAAAATTAAGATAATGAAAACACCATAAGAAAAAAAAATAACTATAAAAGCAACATTTTAATTTTTCTCTTAGATAGTTCCTGCATCAAAAGACTGATTACAATACAGCTGAAAGCATACCAAAAAAGGGAACTATTTAGAAATACAGCATTGTACTCTTCCGATTCAGGTTTTATATTTCTATTCTTGTATTCACACACCAGTCCCTGATCCTCCAGCATCAATTGCTTTGACAGAATAGTTTAGTGGGTGGTGTGAGAATAGAAAAGTAGATGTGGACTTCCACCAGATATGGCAGAAGACTACTGTAGCTTTCCCCTCTATCCTATACCTCCTCTTTCTTAATAGCTAAAGTGGCAGTGGTAATGTCACCTGGATATAATGCAGTTCAATACATCTGGAGGCGACTAGCTTGTGGAGATCTCAGTATCTATGATAACTTCCATAGTGTTGCATAAGCAATTCATACTGGATGGTGTAGTGCTCCTGAAAAGCTGCCATCTTAGCAGTAGATTTATTTATCCTCTGATTTTGCTTAAATTCATTTACAACTTAATTTGATGACCACCATCATCACATATTATAGCAGTGAATTCCATAAATTTAAGTATACCTGTCTTCAGGTTCTTAAACAGAGACAGAATAGGAAGAGATGGCTCTTCCCCCCCCCCCACCCCACCCCCCATTTTACCAGCCTTTATAAGCCTTCAATCTGTTCCATCTTGGCTGTTTTTCTAAAATAAAAGTCTAATGTTTTTTGCTTTTTCAAATACAAAGTTTCTCAAAATACTTTATCATTCTACTTGCTGTCTGATTTTTTTTTTTCAGCACCTTTTCCAACTCTGCTTTAAACCAGATATCAGACAATGTCACAGGATATTTAGTTCAGGATCGCTCCTTACCTATAACTTTTGAGACAGCGCAGTCTACACAAAGAAATTTCACAGGGAAATCTGTTCAAACTTTACTCAAAATATAATTTATGGTACAAGATTCTATCTATCTGAAGGTTACATTATATTATCGATAGACATTGCTCCCATCTGAAAGTGAGGAATACCATACCTACCTACAGAATCAAACTGAAGATAGATACACACACACAAGCACACTTTGGATGTTGCAATAGTTACTGCACATACTCATCTACAGTATAAGTGTACATATTTCAGTCATAAAGCAACACAAACAGGCCAAATCATCTTAGCCACAAGCCAATCCACATCCCCTTCACTAAATTAAGTGGCAAAAGGTGAGAGCTTAGTCCATCCCAGGAGAACATAAAAGAAGCCCAGACCCCACTACTCTTTCCACTGCAGCACCACTTTTAATCTTTTTGAATGTGGGTGGAAAATAATAGAAGCAGCTAGGAGCAACTGGCTCCTTCTCTGCAGAATGAAGCTCGATTTATCTTTAAGTCATATCAAAATCCTTCATTTTGCCCTCCAAACCTTGACTTTTACATGATATGGTAAGTGGAATATTCCTTTGAGATTTAAAAAAACCCCTATCTAACAACATTGATTAGCATGAACCTTTATTTGCATATTCATGCAAAATAATTTATGTTAAGTGACAGGTAATGAACCATAAGACTGTATTCCTTGTTCAGATACAGTATCTGGAAAATTTCTATGCAGAAAATTCTGGGACTTGGAATGTGTCCAAAATTCCCAAGTAGAGTACGCAGCAAGGATGCTGTCATTGTTCCCAGTCTAAACAATTTATTCTAACTGTCATGTCTTTTAATAACCAGATTTCAACCAATGCAGAAACTCATATGGTAGAGAACTACTGTGATCTATTTTAAGTGTAGCAGCAGGGATCACATGATGGACATGTGTGTTTGACTACACACATGGTCTACATAGAAGGCTTTTTGTGGCTACAATAATTCAGTACTACTATCACAAGGTTCTTAAAAATGTGCCCTAGAGTAAAGTGACCTTCTGCTTTGTTAGACTTAACCCAGAAAATTCATTTTTAAGAAACTCTACAGAGAGGCAAACTTTCATTTTATGTTCTGTTTTTAGGCACCTTGTGCCATGTGCAAGCTGCCATGAGTCCCTATGAGGAAATGGTGGCGGAATATAAGAATTAGTTTTAGTACCATAAGGTGCTTCAAAATGTCCAGTGCCCTTATCTACAATTGTTTGTTCTATCATTGTGTAAAAAAATGAACATGACATAAATGTGCATCTCTTTTGTAGAATTTTTGAGTAAAGGTTTGATGGCTTGTGAATTAATTTGTGGCACAGGCACGTAACTGCTTTGGGGAATTTTCTTGTATTCTTATTAAGCACATTTCAAGACTGAGTTTAGTGAAAACTGCTAGTGTATTACCGTTATCTTTTCTATTTTTTGCATTTTGAAATACCAGTTTCACTTCCCTGAAGAAAACACCAAGAGGAAATTCCACTGCTGAAGAAAGCAATGAATTGTTATAGCACAACAAATGCATAAGTTAAATTGATCCAAGAAGAAAATAAGACAAATAAGCGAACTTTCACAAAGTTAGTAACTAGCCCTTTAAAAAAAGGTCTGAGTCAAATCAACAATTTTTTTTGTTTTAAATGTTACTACTTTATAGAGAGCAAGGAAAAAATAATTTGACTGATGGGCTGCAGATCATCAATTATATATCAATGATGGAATTATGTGTAACTCAATTATTACTTGAAACAAAATGTTTTACTTACATGTTAATGGTAGTAATATGTTTGCGTCTGATTATTTCTTTATTTGATGTATATCCCACCTTTTCCACACAGGATATTTTGATTTTTTTTCTTTGAACATCTCCAGTGCACCTCTGGGCCATGTACAACCTTAAGATCGCTTGCACTCTCCAAATTTGTTTTTATAACTCTGCCTAAAAAACGGTGAATTCTGTGTTCTGGAAAAATCCAGGAGTGGCAATCCACCCATCTTTGATCAGGAGCGGGATAAGGGAGACAATAGCACACTACTGCAGAAGGGGAGGAAGAAGACAGGCATACTAAATATAAAGGAGAAGAATAATTATATAAGTATCAGAAAGAAACAGAGCTGGGTGGGGACACTAAAATCAGAAGTGAAATGGGTGAACACTAGTCATGGGCTCAGAATTTGTCCCATTCATTTGTTTCGTGTTTCCATTTAGTTCCGCCCATTCGGATGGCATGAAACAGAAAGTCTCCTCCTGGAACAAAAATGCATTCAATACAAAAGGCAGGCGGAAGCAGGTACAGGCGGCAAACCTGCTTTTCAGATTGATTGCCTGGGGAAGCCTGCATCCGTAGGCCCAAAGAATCCGGGTGTTTGGGTGCAGGCCTTGGGTCTACGCACCTCAACTGAGCACCGAGTAGGCCCAAAGCATGCACCCATAGGCCTGAGTGCTTTGGCTCTACAGGTGAAGTTTCTCTCCCAATAACGGGCCCCAAAGGAAATTGGTCTTTTAGCCCCCAAAAGAAAAAACAACTATCTGACCTCCCGAATTCGGGAGGTTCAGACAAAAAAGGATCGGGGCCCCCACCCAATGCCGGGACATGAAACGGATCAAAGTAAGTCCCAAATGTATATAACTAGTGAACGCACAGGTGAAAATGAAATCCTTAACTGTCACAACAGAAAAAAAAACAACAAAGTCATGGCCAGACACACTGGATTCTCCTCACCCAGCTGTTTGCCATAAAAGCAGAATGGTCCTAAACAGATGCAGGCTGTTTATTTTACACAGAATTTGGGATTAAAGAAACCAGCCTACATATCTTGCCATTTCAGGGTTTTCTAAGAACCCTTAAGTATGAAATAATGTAATTTTGTAAAAGGAGGCTAGTGTTTTTCATTGCACTTCTTGAGTGTGATGGAACAACTTCAACATAATAATTTAAACATAATAATCACGTGGAAACCAAATGTAAAAGCATCCCGATTGTTATATTCGCCACATTATGCAAGATGGCATTTATTTAAGTCACTAAGTGTTGACAATACATACGTGCCAACTGAATTATCCTCAGAGTGACCATTCTCCTTCCACTGTTTGCTTTGGCATTTTTACAATCCAATTAAACAAGAAACTACACTCATATATTTCAGCTCCTTTTTATTGCACTGAAGCCTAGCAGCAGCCAATCTAAACCTCAGTTGTGAGTATTTTCAGAACCTTAATAACCCAAGTTGATCAAAACATATGACTGTGAAGGATACACAAAACATGCACATCCTGTGGATTCCTCTGATACTGTATTGTTGACTCTGCATTAATATAGTCCCTGTTGACTCTGTACTGTTGACTCTGCATTAATTTAGTCCCCGTTTAACAGTACACTTTAATGCAGAAGCTTTGCAAGCAAAGATTTTTTTTAATTGGGCAGGTTTTTGGTTCTTAAATGGTATTGCAGAAGGGTGTTTTCAATGTGGGGAGCTGTGCTTTAACCTTTTAGACTTTGTGGCCTTTAACCGAGTTGTTTAAATGTTTTTAAAAAAACTTTTACAGTATAAGATTTAAGTTGAACTTTTAAAAAATGCCGTAGGTTTGGGTTCTGTGTGAGAACAAAGATGGAATACTACACAAACTCTGTCTCATTGCTCGAGGGTTAGCACCTGCCCGGGGCAAGTAGCGGTTGAGAAATTTAAGGGAAGGTTTTGTGAAATGTCCTTTTACACAACCAACTCATTTTAAGGGAATTACACAATTGAGTGTGAGTTATTGTTTCTTGAGTATTCATATTCTGCAGAAGAAGCTATGGGCTCTTCCAGGAGACTATATCCTCCTTCCCCAGTTATTAGGGTCTATCTTTGGGTTTTTATTCTAACTGTTTAGTTCTTAATGGGCTGTTATTATTTTTTCTCATTGGCATTTTAAGGGAAGTAGTGGTGTACTAGAGGACTCCGGGGATCAGGGTGCAATTCCTGTTTGGCCATGGAATCCCCTTGGATGAATCAACCCTTTCAGCACTAGAAAATCCTGTGACAGGATC